AAAAAAAAAGTGAAACAGGACCCATACCTCACACCATACACAAAAACTAATTCAAAATTGATCAAAGACCTAAATATAAAGCCAAAGAATATAAAATTCATAGAAGAGAAAATAGGATCAACGCTAGAGGCCCTAATACACGGCAGTAACAGGATACAAACCATAACAAACAACACACAAACTCCAGAAGATAAGCTAGATAACTGGGATCTTCTAAAAATTAAACACTTATGCTCACCATAAGACTTCATCAAAAGAGTGAAAAAAGAACCTACAGACTGGGAAAAAAAATTTTGGGCATTGCAAGTCAGACAAAGGTCTAATCTCTAAAATCTATAGGAAAATCAAACACTTCTTCAGCAAAAAGACAAATAATCCAATTAAAAAATGGGCAAATGAAATGAACAGACACTTCACCAAAGAAGACATTCAAGCAGCCAACAGACACATGAGGAAATGCTCGCGATCACTAGCCATTAGAGAAATGCAAATTAAAAACACAATGAGATACCATCTCACCCCGGCATTACTGGCATGAATAAAAAAAACTGGAAATAACAAATGTTGGAGAGGCTGCGGGGAGATGGGAACTCTTATGCACTGCTGGTGGGTATGCAAAATGATACAACCATTTTGGAAAGCTGGAAATAGAAATACCATACAATCGAGCAATCCCACTCCTAGGAATATATCCTAGAGAAATAAGAGCTGTCACATGAATAGACATATGCACACCCATTTTCAGTGCAGCATTGTTCACAATAGCAAAAAGATGGAAACAACTTAGATACCCATCAACAGATGAACGGATAAACAAACTATGGTACATACACACGATGGAGTAATATGCAACAATAACAATGATGAATCAGTGAAGCATCTCATAACATGGATGAAACTGGAGGACATGCTGAGTGAAATAAGTCAGTCACAAAAGGACAAATATTGCATGAGATAACTACTGTGAAAACTCATGAAAGGTTTACACACAAAAAGAAACAATCTGATGGTTACGAGGGATGGGAGGGTTGGGGCGGAATACTAAATAGACAATAGATAGGTGAGAACTTTGGTGAAGGGCAAGACAGTACACAATAGTGGGGAAGCCAGCACTACTTGTACAAGGAAAGGTCATGGAAACTCAATAGACACATTCAAATTCCCTGAGGGACTGAATTGCTGGGTGGAGGGCTGTGGGGGCCATGGTCTTGGGGAACATCTGGCTCGGTTGGCCTAACACAGTTTATAAAGACAATGTTCTACATTCTACTTTGATGAGGAGCATCTGGGGTCTTAAATGCCTGTGAGCAGCCATCTAAGATACTACACTGGTCTCCCCTTCAGGAACAAGGGAGAATGAAGAGAACAGCATACAAGGAAGAGATTAGTCCAAAGGACTTAATGGACCACAGCTACCAAGGCCTCCACCAGAGTGAACCCAGTACAGCTAAATGGTGCCCGGCTACCACCACTGACGACGCTGACCGGGATCACAACAGAGGATCCTGGACATAGCTAGAAAAGGATGTAGAACAAAATTCTAACTCCCAGAAAACAGACCAGATTTACTGGGCTGACAGACTGGAGAAACTCTGAGAGTATGGCCCCCAGACACCCTTTTAGCTCAGTGGTGAAGTCACTCCCAAAGTTCACCATTCAGTCGGGGATTGGACAGCGTCATAAAACAAAAGGGTACTAATGAGGCACAGCAGTCCAGGGACAAGGACTATCAGGCAAGAGGGGACAAGAAAGCTGGTAATACGGAACCCAAGGTTGAGAAGGGACAGTGTTGATATGTTGTGGGGTTGTTAACTATTGTCATAGGGCAATACGTGTACTGTTTAATGAGAAACTATTCTGCAAATGTTCATCTAAGGTGAAAAAAAAAAAAAGAATTATCTATGTGAAATCAAATTGACAACAGCAACTCAAAAGGTTTGATGGGAAGCCTAGGGGTCAGTTAGTTGAAGATAATTGTGATGGGATAATTTGGAAAAAGAATAGCAGCACAACTGGAAGAATGTAATCGATGTCACTGAATTGTACATGTAGAAACTTTTGAAATGGTGTAACTTTGGCTATGTATATTTTCACCAAAAAAAAAAGGTCCTCCAAGGT